GGGGCCCGAGCCCCCCCCACCAAAGGAACAAGAGAACCAGTCAGTGGTCTCTGCTGTGTGCTCCCCCTGGCTCTGACTGACGCACACACGCCCCGCCCGGGAACCCTGCCTGCTGCTCCGTGTTCGGAGACACTCGGATGACATGGGAAGATGGCTGCCACGGCGAATGATTTTCTGGCATTCGATTGAGAGGGTCTAGCAGAGACCCGCTACAGCAAACGCTGCGGGGGCCCTGCTGGCGCCGGTACACGTCTCTGTCGCAAGGAGGAAGGGAAGCGTTTCTCCCGTCGCCCCCCCGCTGCGGGCACGGTGCCGAAGGTTGCTCCGGGTACATCGACTCCCGCTATGTTAGCTGCGTCGCTGGAATTGCGCACCTCAAGCCACCCTTCCCTCGCAGCGCAGACTGGCCGAAGTAGAGGCCGCTGGTCTGCGCTATGCGAGCCAGGACAACCGTTCCTTCGCTCGGAAAGGGGGGCCCCGTCCCTAGCGGTGTAGGGCACCGGTCCTAGCAGGGGTGCGGCGACAATTGGCTCAAGCCCTGCAGACGGGACACAGCCCAGAGCATTCTCCCAGGTGTTTCCTTTGGGGAAAGGGAGGGAGAGTCTGAGCTCTGCAAAGGAGACTCGGGCGACAGGTCTCCCATTCGTATTGGAGGTTCCTGGCTTGGTTAACGGCCTTTCCCGGGGGCGGGAAGGGAGCCTGGCAGCGCCACGGCCGGGGTTCCTTGGGCGCCTGCCTCCAGCTCTGGACGTCAGGGTTGGCCTGCACCGCAGTGGGAGGGCAGGGCACGTTGGCCAGGGACGACTGATCGCAGGCAGGCTGGTCCAGCGTCCGAGAACTGCCCGGAAATCCTGGAGGACAGACGCCTCCGCCTCAGGCTGACGTGGGAGGGATGGGCTTGTGCGGAAGGGCAGTTTCCACAGCAGCATGGGATGTGGGTGTGATCGGTGCCAGCTGGACACCTGGGGCCAGCCAGCGCCCATGGGCAGGGCCGTGGGGGGCGGCCTGGGGCGCCCCCCCGCAGTCCTGGGAAGCGGTGAAATGTCGCTGAGGCAGGAAGGTCCCACACCGTGTGCCTGCCTGCGCCCCGTGGCCACTGGCAGTCAGCCCAAGTCTGCTCTCGCCGGGCCTCCACCTGCGCCGTGGGGCCGTCCCTCGACAGTAACTCGCTGCCTGGGACAGACAGCTCCCAATTCCCTGCTCCCCCCGCCTGCCGGGGCCTGCACCCTGGAACGAGCCATGCGCCGGCTCCCTGCACTCGCACTGACCCCTCCCCTTGTCTCTGCACCGGGCTCCCCGTGCCCGTCGCTGGGGCGGGGGCCGCAGTGTGGGACCCGGGGAGCTGACGGGGGGATGTGGGATTTGCTGCCTGGCTGTCTCAGCGCGGGCGTTTCACGGCTGTGCGTGTGGGGGCGTCGTGGGCTGGTCATGCAGCAAAGACCAGGCCCCCTGCAATGGGGCGTAGGCAGGACAGGGTCCCTCGGGGTGGGGCCCTGCTTCATGCTTCGCTCCAGGGCCATCGTTTGCAGCTCTGTTACGCGGGCCCGCGTATGGCCCAGCTGTATGGCCCTGCGGCTGTCACCCGGGATGCTGGTCCAGAGCCCCTGTCCCGGGGCAGGTGCCTTGCCACCATGAAGGCCAACAGGGTTCGGAGGGACTCCACTTCCTTCCAGCGTGGACACCAACTGAACGTGCCTTTCTCTCTGCTGTCCGTCCCGTCCCCACAGGCTCTCCTGAACACGCAGGCCAAGCTGAGAGCGCTAGTCCCCAATTTCACCTTCAACCTGGGCTTCTCGGGCAAGTTCTACCACACAGGTGAGCTCCTTCCACCACCAAGCGTTGCCCTCCGGTCCCGGGGCCCGTGGTGTGGCACAGCTCCCCGACCGCGTGCCGGGCACCGCCTGTCCCCTCCGGTCGCAGGGCCCGTG